AAGGTGACTGCATTCAGAGAAGCAACTGAAGCAGAGAAGTTGATGCACTTCAGCATTTAGCACTGGGTAGAATGAAAAATGCGGAAAATACCTTGACCTGAAAACACGGTAGAGAGCAAAAGTTTGCTGCTTCTGTTTTGCATCTGTTTTAGAGAGCAGCACGTTAGTCTTTTTGTACAGAACTTTAGGAAGATCATGAAGAGTTTGATTACTGCAACATGAGCAGGTTGAAGTCCCTGATTGGGAAAAGTTTCCATAATCTCATCCTGGGCCCAACCCTTTGCCTTGGTTAGGACTTTTTATAGACTTAGTCTTTTCAGGTAAGTTGGTTATTTTCTTCATATTGGTAAATGTTGCAGGTAGGAACTTAGTTCCAAAGGCTTTCACTGGATCCAGCCCATCTCCAGCTAACAGGGAAACTTCTGCTAGCAACAAGTTAACCTTAGGTATTTTTCAGAATACCATGAAGGAAGTGATTCCTGCTAGTATTAAAAGCAGAATATGGATCTAGCTGAGTTCTGGGGATACCATGCCCTCTTGTTTTCATGAAGATAAGGGGTTAAGAGAAAAAAATGCCAGCAGGTGGTGCTCCAGAATCCATGGTGCACCTGGGCTTTGTAGGACAGGCCAACATGAGTGTTGGACATCCCAAACATCTGCTCCTGTTCCTTGTTACGCAGCGTTTTCACAAAATGTTCTCCTGCAGTGGGGAAAACCATTCCACTCTCTGTCCCTCTCTGTCTCTGTGATGTTTTTTCCTCTGGTCTTTTGCATCCAGCAAGAGGCACCTCCACTTTACATAAGCACCCTCCACACTGGAGTGTAACCCAAGCTCGTGTCAGCCGTCCCCGCAGTGAGCTGGGGAGGAACCTCCGTGCGGGAGCTTGACCTTTTCCCTCTTGCTGGGACTGCCCTGGTTGCTCAGCAAGAAGTAAACAATTGCTGGCACACAGAGCCCTCAAAGGCAGCGCCCGCTCCCGCGGTGGCTCCAGCTTCTCCCACAAAGAAGCGACCACTCTGTGGGCTGGTGCATGGCAAAGGGTGAAGAGAGCTAGAACTGAGCAGGCTTTTAGGCATTAGGGTAGGCCATTAATTTTTTTTATGTAATGAGGATAGTATTTGCTGACAGGGAGACAGGTTCTCAAGAGTACAGAACGTTCCCTGGCCAGCAGTAGCAAAAGCAGGGATGAAATTTTGTCATCAAGGAGGCTAACTTCGTTTTTCCCTTTTTGGATCAGGTGTGCTGCCTGTTTTGAGATGTTCCTAACGTGAAAGGTCTTTCCTAGGGCTGAAAAAGGCAAATGTTCCGTGCTAGCCAATTTTGTGCATTAGAGTCCATTTTTCTTAGCTGTTGACTACATCAGTATTATCATTCTTGTCCAAGAAAGTGGTGTTCGAGCAAAGGCTACAGGATGAGGCCATTAGAGGAGAGAAAAACATAGGAAAATCTTACTTTGAAAAGCTGAGGGTTTCCCAGGCTCTCCTGAACTTTCTGTTCACAGCAGTGTTCGGGAGCTTCTGAGTACTGATGGTAAAACCCACTGCTTATAGATTTTTGTCACTCTGGTGAAGTAATTTTTCACGTGTGGACTTCAGTTCTTTCTCCTCTAAAAAAGGACTGAGACTTTGCTCTTTGAGTTTCTGCAAGACTTAATTAATTAGAGTGATTTGAGAATGAAGGATGCCCTGTCAGTGTCACACATTCCTCGTGCTGCATCTTCTGGGTACTTATTAAATTCAGTGGTTTCGCATTTAAAGTCAGCATTGCAGGATTTTGGAATGACACTGGTGGTGTGGTTCTGGCTGGTCAGTAACTAGGAGGGTCAAATTCCAAGTTGGCATGTGTTATTTTCACTCACATAAATTTTCACAGGAGCTGCTGCTTTTATTGAAGTCCCAGTGAAACTGGATCCCCCCCTTCCTCGCCCCACAGTTTTTTTCTTGCACAGGCCATTAATGATAAACGTTGTGTGAATGTTTTCAGCAACTGAAGGCATCTTTCTTTTACACCTACATGCAGGGGGGACGAACCCCTTGCACGTGTTGACGTGTCTGTTCTCCCCTGCAGGTCTTTACCAGACAGGTTTGTTTTTAAGCTCGTGAGTGAGTGTTGCTCCTTGCTCTGGAGTCAGCGCAGGTAGAAAGGAGCAGATGGCTCAGTGCTGGCTAAGTGCTTGCTGATACACAGCAAATTGCTTCTGTAACCCACTGATAGGTTTCAGGCTTTAATTGAGGCTTTCAGCAAGGCGCTCAACAGTGAAAAGCATTCTGCTGAGAAAAACAGCAGCATAACCGTGGGCAAAGGTTCAGGATAGCAGAGTTCAATCCCCTTGGGGATGGCTCCTCTATTTATTTCTTTATTTTCTGCTGCTTTCCCACCATCATTCAAGGCTTCTGTAACGTTGTCTGCAGATTGCAGCTCAGTCCCTCAGTCCCTTTGTGTGCTGGAAACGTGGAGCGGAGACTGATGAGTTTGGATTTTGTGCGTGCAGCGGGCTCGGTGTGTCTGCAAAGGTAGCTGTCCCCTGATGCTCCCATCGAGTCCCTGTGTGCCTGCTCTGAGCAGCAGCTTTGGTAGGTGTCCCTTGTGTGGCAGGGAGTACAGTCTTGCCTCTTATGTACGTCAGCACCATCAGAATTTTAACTTTTAATGGACGTCTCTAAAAGGGAAAGGAAAACTCCCTTGCTCCTCCCTCACCCCAAGCAAGAGTGGATTTGACAGCGGAAGAAAGATATTTGTGGTGGAGTTGTCTGAGCAGCGTCCTGTTGGGCAAGAGTTTCCTCCAGCAGCTGCCCCTTAGGCTGAAGGAGCTGCTCTGAAATCGGGTTGCAACTCGCCCAAGTAAAGGGGCAGTGCAGGGCAGGCAACAACCCAGTGGTCTATAGCTCTTATCCCCACTCCTTGTCAGCTTTCAATTAATTCTGCTTTGAATTGGATTTCTTCACAATACAGGGCCAAGGAATAAATTTCAGCATGGAAATTGTATCTATTGAGCCAGCTTGGTTTAGTGTGCTCAATTAGTCTGAAAGGAGTTGCTTCAAGTTAAAAAGCTCTCTGGTTGTCTTAGAAGTTTAGATTTTATTTAGTGCTGGAGTGGGTCTAACAAAAAGACCCGAAATAAAGGCACTACCTGAATACGAGAAATTAAATCCTGTGATTCAAGTTTCCTAAAGAGTCCAAGATATCTCTGATGATGGCAGAAGTAGTGGTGGTAGCTTAAAATCTCTGCCCCAAGGAGCTCAGAAGTACAAAGATTTTTTTCTCAGTTCTGAAATCCCAGACACATTTGATAGTGTCTGCAACATGTTTTTATGTTCCTTTAGCTTTTCAGTGGCTCATAATGCACTGGAAGTGAGAACTGCACTGCCAGTGTGCTTTTGTACTTGCATGAATTTAATTAAAAAGATAATTGGATTGCTTTATCAGCCTTTACATGTCAGCCCAGTGCCACCCTCCTCTCCCCTCTCTTAACAACATTGGCAAACCCAAGGCATCTGAAGTCTGTATTTTTCTGCATTGTTCTCTTCTCTCTTGTTTTGGATAGGGTACTGTTTGCTGTTGAGCGTTAGATCTGCTCCACGGTGGGAAGGAAGTGGCTGGTAAGCAGAGAGCCAGCCTGGTCAGATGGTTCCTGCTGGGGCTGCCCTGGGCCAGTGCAGGGGGAAATGCCCTGGAGCCACAAAGCTCCAGAACAAAACAAAGCAACCGACCCTTTGCAAAGTCCTCTGCTTTACTGCACTCATGTGTAGCCCAAAATGTGCAGCTGAACCTGCAGGCTGCACACACAGCAGGGGCAGTTTTTGTGATTTTCCTGGAAATGCTGCTGAGGGATGTTAAGTTCCATTTTTAGTGCGAAACGCCGATGTTTTCATGTAAACAGAGAAGTGCCCAGCCTGTGCTGTTAAACAAACCTGAGGATGTGTCCAAACTTCTTGACATCCCTTTGAACAGAGCACCAGGCTCACACACACAGAGGAGCAGAAGGGGGCATGTGAATGAAACACAAGTGGGCGTCTGTCAGTGCAGGCACTGCCTGCCTTGGCAAGCCCCTCCTGGTTCTAGGGAGCCCTTCCTTTTCTTTTCAGGAGTGGCATTATAACACTCATCATCGTTTCCCTGAACTTCCAGAGTACCATCAAGCCACCTGTGGGAATTTGGGAGGGTGGGTTTTCTCTGGAGAATATAATTTATAATACAAAGCAGCTTCTGTTTTAGTTGTTTTTGGCAGCATTGCTGCTGAGGAGTAAGAATTGCCCTTTGCTTATCCAACTGGTCTGTGCATGGGGCAGTCGGTGAAACAGGTTGGGCATGGCCAGGGTACTTTTGGGTACTTTTCAGGGTACTTAAAGACAGAAAAGGAAACCTGTGGGTCTACTGGAAATTTGCTCTTTGATAAAATTGATTTTATTCAATTTTTAATGTAAATTCATCAATTAGCAATATAGAATAAAGTATCTCTGCAGTCATGTTTTGATGGCCTCTCTCTCCCCCCCCCTTTCTTAATGACTCCCTGTAAAAAGAACCTACAGCTTCAGAAACAGTGCAATAGCAGATATCTGTTTTTAGCCCAAGGAACAAAATGTTTGTAAGAGAAAATGGTGAAAAGAAAGATGCTCTGGAGTTAAAAAAGAATAATTTAAAAATAAAAAGAGTCATGGTTTCTCATCGCTTCACAGGAGAAATCGGTTCAGGCATACAAGGTTTTCTTGCCCATTTTAAAGTTTTAAGAACAGCCTCTCAGCAACCAGAGAAGGGCAGAACTCAAAACCCAAAGCAGCCCGCTTGGCAGCTGCACTAGAGGAAGCCCTTTCCTGTTTCTTGCAGAAGAAGATTTACAAGTACAAGAAGGTGCTCAGTAACCCCAGCCGCTGGGAGGTGGTGCTGAAGGAGATCCGGACGCTGGTGGACATGGCGCTGACGTCCCCGCTGCAGGACGACTCCATCCACCAAGCACCTCTGGAGATTGTCTCCAAACTGCTCTCAGAGGTATGGCCTCGGCAGGGCTCCTGCGAGGCACTGTCACGTGTAGATG